GAGCTATGCAGGTCTGCTTGCTTTTGAAAGGCGAGTTTTGATTTTTCGGAGTCTATCATTCATTTCTTGTGTTTTGTTTGATGGTGTATATCATGCTCATCTACCAGTTCATTTATATATTAAATTGACTCGTTTGAATTGTTAATTCCCAGACAATTCTTCAGAAAGCATCTGGAGCACGGAAAATTCTGTACAAGAAATGTAAAAAGTGGGAAAGTTGGATACCAAAGTGAACGGACAAAGCATCCAGCCTGTCTCCAGCAGTGCTCAAATAACAGAAATGAGTGCAGTTCAAGATCACACTAAGGTGTCAAGAAAAGTGTTTTGTTGCTCCTTTTACTTGATTTTTTGTTGTTGTCATTGAGTTTTCGTTTCTTCTTAGTGACAGGTGAATAAGTAAGATAGACTTGTTTATGAACCTTATTAATTGCTTTTGTCTTTATAGCTTCTTATTAGACTTATATGTTGTGTACTCCTACCATGTTATCTGGACTCAATGGCTTTATCTTCTTATTTGCTTTAAACTTTTATTTATTTCTTTTGCATCTGTGTCTTTTAGTCTCTTGAACTAGTCTATATTATGATAATTTTGTAGAGAAATAACACAACTGGGAAGCAAGAGGTGAAGGCATCGGTACAAGAGCTTGTTTCTCGAGCTACTTCCCCGAGTCAAGGCTGTTGCTGCGGAAAAGATCACACCACCAAATTCGGCATATCAATTTGAGGTTTCTTGGCGAGGATTCTCTGGAGATAATGCTCGACAGACTAGCCTGTTGAAGGTCTGCAAAAGTATTCATGTGGTTTACTGTAAAAAAATATAGTCTGCCAAAATGCAAGATTCATATGTTCGTTGTCATCCCAAAGTAGGTGACCATGAATGTGTTCTTTTTGCATGGTGGTCATCCGTGCGGTTGACCACTGCAAAGATTCTATTAGCCTCGTCTATTGTCCTCTTTGGATGGTTGCCAGAAGAATACCAGTAATTGCATTGTCAGTCTGCCTATCTGGCTTCTGCATACTAGGGGCCATCCAAGAAGTTCCCCATTAGTTGTGCCCCTTTTGAACAATTTCAAATGTCCATAACGGATTGTGAATGCAGTTAGTATTTGTTTAGGAAATCATCACTCATTCTGACTTTCCATTTATGCTGATACTTTGTTTCATGTTATTTTTTGTGTTATTTCTATATAGGCTATATCTCCAAGTGCATTGCCGCAGATATTCAAAAATGCTTTGACTGTTCCCATACGGCTTGACATTATCAAGTGTGTGGCAACCTTTTTCGTGTAAGTAATGTTTATGTCTGATATGTATGTTTTCTTGTTGAGCTTGATAAAATGCTTATGGCCCCACCTTTGATTTATTTCTTTGGCAGTGAAGAAATGGATTTGGCCGTCAATTATCTGGAGAACTTAACCAGGGTTCCAAGATTTGACACACTCGTCATGTTTCTTTCATCCTCAGACAACGCTGGTATGCATGCTTCTGTTTTAAATTCCTTGAGATTTTCAAAAGCTTACAGTTGAATTCCTGGATTTCAAATGTTTTTTTAAGTAGAGTATACCTATATCAATGTGGTATATCAGTCTCAGCGACTGGTAATGCTTGCACTGTGTCTTGATTGAATCATTCCATATTTTCTGATTTTTTAGTCATCCTGCCCGTTTTTATAAGGTTTATGATTCATATTTTCCGTTAGTTTCATATCCTATACTAACCCAATAACCTTGCAAACAGATCTTGTTAAGATATGGGATGAAGTGTTTGACAATGAGGCAACTCCGATTGAGTATGCTGAGAAGCTTGATAACCTGCGTACAAAGTACTGCCCCAAGCGATGACAAAGCTCAACAAGGTTCTACTTTACCCTCCTCCACCTCTTGTACTGTAAATTCAAGTTGTAAAATCTTGAATCTCAAATTATATCGTGGACAACTTTTCTATCCATTTATCGAGATGTTAAAAGTACATTGCAACTTTTACTTCACTCATGTTGGACTTGAATACTTCGAACTTGGAACTGTTGGTAAGAATGTGCTTGTGAGCGTCCATGTTTTGGTCGGGTGGACATAGCCTACTCTTGTTTAGTCATATTCATTGAGGTCCAGAGGTTAATGGTGGCGATAACCTGTTTCTTCATGCCCTACCTATCATTCACTACCTTAGTTTTCAAACAACATATGTATATCTTTGCATACTGAGTTGTTTCAAGTCCCAATCAATCAATGTTATGTGGGGGTCTTCCGGATTTTGCACTATGCTTTTCACATGGAGATCATGTGTCATTTACAATCACCTGACTCTTTCATGTTAACCCCACTATATTATGCATCAAAAATAAAAACCCTACTTTATAATACAGAAAATAACCCTACATGCAAGTAGATGCTTTGTAATCTTACAGATCAGAGATCATTTTCTGTGAACTCACCCAAATAATGCAAAAACAGAACCAGAATACTGATTGGCTAGGCATATATTATGTGCTGCACGCGAAAGATTTCTCTTTGAAGCAAAAACGGTTGGAGATAGGAGGTTGAACAGAGTTTGTATGGCCAAGTAATTAGCAAAAAGTAAAGACTTCTCTTCTGGGATGGATGAGCAACTAGCTAAGGAGGCAATAAAAGCAGGTAGACCATTGATCTTGCGTTAATAGTCATGTACATGTTTTGTGATATACATTTTACAGTGCAGAATGGTCTTCAGATAATTTTCTGTTTCTTATAGAGGCCTGTCTAGTTGCATTAATACCAAGAAGTTCCTCACACTTAAGTGATTGTTCTTAATGCATAGCTTGTTGCTGCATTTTCAAAAGGCCGAGAGAGTGATTACTTCTACACTTCTTTATATGCTGGGCTTTATCATGAAAGTCAGGTTTCTTAACGCCTAGCTTGTTGCTGCATTTTCAAAACGCCTAGATGGTCTAAAACACTTGAATGGCATTTGCCACACATCAAAACACTTGAAAAGTACCCCCGATTTCGGAGTTGGCCAAAGTGAGTTGGGGCTCCAAGTTTCAACATATCCAAAGCACATATTGAAAAGAGACAAATTTCACAGTAAATCAATATGAGAGTTCAATTTTTTCTTCTTTTTTTCGTGAGAATGTTTGCCTTTGATCTACATCGGTCTCTAGAGTGCTACTAAATTATGTTACTGCACACATTATTTTTCGTAGAGAATTGCATGCTGGGTTGGAGTGGTCTTGGTAATTGCTTTACTTTTCAAACAACACTTTAAAGAAAACTACCACCTCTCTTACTACTATACCCATAAAACCTTGTTTGAAATTGTTGTTCTCGTTGGCACATGGATTGCAAAATCACCATCTTGCATTTTTCTCACAAGTAAGAAATAATATCAACCTCTCAATTTCATTCATAGTTAGTAAAAAACGGAATGGGAAAAATACGAATAAAATACGTATGTGTTTTATTCGGCAAAATTTTGGCAAGTTACAACTGAAAAGTTCGGCCACTATATAATATTTTAATATGTATTATTTTGGTTCAATAATATGTGAAAATTATTTGTATAATATGTGTATATGAAGAATTTACACATGTATGTGAACTTTGTGTGTATTATTGAAAATTTTGTAAAAAAAATGTGTATATGAAAAATATATACGTATGTGTACAATATGTGTATTGTATGTTTGCTTTTTCACACAATGTGTATTTTACCCAGTCTTTAAGACGTGTATGGAAAGCATAGGTGTTATTGAAAAATACATACGTACGTCTATAATACGAGTATTAAACGGCAAAATGCTAAATTCTTTATATGGGTAATAACTTTGGAAAAGTAAAAACTTAAAAGGGGACAATAGAGACTCGGGTAATGTAGTAATAGTAATGGATAATGCTATAAACTACTCTTATCGATAAAAGAAATTAGGGATTTTTTTTTTTTTAAAAAGGACCCAGTATAGCCGCACGGCTGTACTATTTATTAAAAACTTTTTAAAAAGTGTCGCATATTGCCGAATGGCTGTACTATTTATAAGAGTATAGCTGCGCGGCTATACGCTTTAAATATATTATGTTTAACCGTACAGCCGCGCGGCTATACGATTTATTAAAACAAAATTTTAAAAATCCCGAGTTATACTCTTTAAATATATTATATTTACACAGTATAGCCGCTCGGCTAGACTATTTATTTTAATAAATAAAAAAAAACCCGCCAAGAGCCTAGCCGCTAGGAGGCCCATTTTTTATTTTTTATTTTTTTACTTGTATAGCCGCTCGGCTATACTATTCATTTTTAAAACAAATTAAAAAACCACATTATAGCCCCCCGGCAATACTACTTATGTAAAAATTTAACGGAACACCACAGTACAGCCGTGCGGCCATACTATTTACTAAAAAAATAAAAAAATAGACCCCAGTATAGCCGCGTGGCTGTACGATTTATTTAAAATAACGAAATAAAAAAATGGACCCTCCTAATGGCGCCTAGGCGGCCCATTTTTTAATTTTTTAATTTTTTTTAAAGAGTATAGCCGCTAGGTTATACTCCGCGTAGCTATACTATTTATTAAAATATATATATTCCACGGTAAGAATTAAGAGCACGAAAAGCACCATTGCTCAACCTGATCAACCCTTGACAATTCCTCTTGCAATAACGCTGGCTATTGGAGTTTTAGGAGTCATTCTGTATACAAGGGTATCTTCACTTGAAATTGATGTGATTTCAAAAATCCTTGGACTGATAAACCTTAACTTTACCCCTCTTTGGTCCCATTATAAGTGTATTGCAAGTACCCTTCTGCTCGGGAAAGATAGTTAACAGAGAGAGGTTACGCAAGAAGCAAAACAAAAGCTTTCTAGTTTGAGAGTTTGCAAAGAAGTGTGCCCTAGCAATTTTGAAATTTTGTGCCCCTTCTTCCATTAGTTTATTCTTTATAGTTATTAATTTGTTAGTTTCAACATATCTAAAGCAAATATTGAAAAGATAGAATTTTCACAGTAAATCAATCTGAGAGTTCAATTTTTTCTTCTTCTTTTTTGTGTGGGAATATTTGCCTTGACCACTAGGAGTTAGTGCAAGCGCACTTAACCACAAAGGCAGGTTGAAGGCCCGGGAAAGATAGTTAACAGAGAGAGGTTACGCAAGAAGCAAAACAAAAGCTTTCTAGTTTGAGAGTTTGCAAAGAAGTGTGCCCTAGCAATTTTGAAATTTTGTGCCCCTTCTTCCATTAGTTTATTCTTTATAGTTATTAATTTGTTAGTTTCAACATATCTAAAGCAAATATTGAAAAGATAGAATTTTCACAGTAAATCAATCTGAGAGTTCAATTTTTTCTTCTTCTTTTTTGTGTGGGAATATTTGCCTTTGATCTACCTCGTTCTCTTGAGTGATACTAAATTATGTTACTGCACTAATTATTTGTCGTAGAGAACTGCACGCTGAGTTGGAGTGGTCTTGGTAATTGCTTCACTTTTCAAACAACACTTTACATGAAGAATGCTACCGCTTCTCTTAATACTATACCCATAACACTTTGTTTGATATTGTTGTTCTCGTTGGCAAAGAGATTGCAAAATCACCATCTTGCATTTTTCTTACAACAAATAAGAGATAATCTCAGCCACTCAATTTCTTTCATAGTTAGTAAAATACAAAACGGGAAAATATGAACAAAATACATACGTGTTTTATTTAGCAAAACTTTGGCAAGTTACAATTGAAAAGTTCGGCCACTATATAATATTTTAATATATATTAGTTTTTTTCAATAATATGTGAAAATTATGTGTATAATACATGAATTTTGTGTGTATTATTGAAAATTTTGTAAAAAACATGTATATTAAAAATAAAAAATACATATGTATGTGTACAATAAGTGTATTGTATGTTTGCTTTTTACAAAATATGTACTGTACCGAGTCTTTAAAACGTGTATATGCAAATCAATAACACTACGTAACTATGTTGTGGTGGCACCGGACAATCTTTCATTGACTGCTTTAGGTGGAGCAGGGTAGCAAAAGAATGGCACATGGCATTGGTAGTCCCATCTCCCATCCCATCCTAATAGATGCCATCATGCATATGACAGAAGAAAACGTGAAACTAATAATTGTCAATGCTTTTGTATTATAAGATCAATTATGATATCTGGATTTTGTGGATGTGTATTATTGAAAATTTTGTAAAAATCATGTGTATTAAAAATGAAAAATACGTATATATGTGTACAATAAGTGTATTGTATGTTTGCTTTTTACAAAATATGTACTGTACCGAGTCTTTAAAACGTGTATACGCAAATCAATAACACTACGTAACTATGTTGCGGTGGCACCGGACAATCTTTCATTGACTGCTTTAGGTGGAGCAGGGTAGCAAAAGAATGGCACATGGCATTGGTAGTCCCATCTCCCATCCCATCCTAATAGATGCCATCATGCATATGACAGAAGAAAACGTGAAACTAATAATTGTCAATGCTTTTGTATTATAAGATCAATTATGATATCTGGATTTTGTGGGGGAGATGGATCATTAAGATTCATATTCTGAGGTTTAAGCTTAAAACCCTTTGCTTCAATGATCTATCATTACCTTTGTCGGTGGGTTTTTTTAAAAGAAAAAACCAAAAACTAAGATATAGAAGGACTTAAGTAAATAAAATAATAAGATGAGTCCAGCTTCTTGTTATATAAATGTTTGGAGCCAAAGTCTTCCATAGTCAGTAGGATTTGCTGTCCATTTTTAATGCAAATCAAAACCTAATTTCCTTGTTTAGTTCTGTATTCATTATCTCAAGTCAAAAGGAGCAACCAATCACTAATTATATTGTCTGCCAATCACAGACAAGGCCCATGCTAATTAATCTACCATGCCACCATCACTATTTTAATCAAGATCTCCTTTTTAACTTCAACAGGACATGTTACTCATGCAGTGCAGATGAGCCTAAACTGAAAGAGAAAACAAACAAACACTGTAAATTTGTATCTTTTTACTCCAATCATGTGCTTAAACAGAAAGCAATCAACCAAGCAAATGGCTTTTTTCTGCAGTTAATTTGTTTTTACCATTGGATAAATAAAGTATTTTATTTCGATGGCATAAAATTGGGGACTTGGATTTCTTCACTTGACCCAAGGTACGCGGTGTGGACTGATCAATGACTGTGAGAACTTATTTCTCTGCTTACAGACAGCTCATAGACACTCACTCAAACTGTTGGCTTACTACAAATAAAGAAGCAAATCTTCAAAGGAGATCTAGCAGAAAAGCACTTCTACAGAATCCTCTAAAAAGCACTCAAAGAAAAAGGAGAAAATAACAAATAGAAAAAGCAGAGGAAGGGAGGAGCTTTCCAGAGGGAAAGATAAAGACCAAATCTTTATCTTCTGGGAGGCTTTTATTTTGCATTTCAGTCCCATTTCTCCATTGTTTGCTCTCAAAGATCCAGAAAGGAACATGGGATTGTACACAAGTGTGTGTTGTGTCATATTGGTTGCTCTGCTTACTGTGACCTGCACAAGTGGGGAAGATCCTTACAGGTTCTACAACTGGAATGTCACCTATGGTGATATCTATCCCCTTGGGCTGAAACAAAGGGTACGTTTATCATTTATCCTTCTCTCTCTCTCTCTCTTTCTCTCTCTCAGACACATAAACAAGCACGTTTTGTTTTTGTTAAGTTTCTCTGTTCTGGGCAGTTTTGTTGTTGATGAAAAATTGCAATGGCCGGTTGCTAAAATGAGTTTTCAAACAAAAATGCAGGGGATATTGATAAATGGGCAATTTCCAGGGCCGCAGATCGAATCAGTCACCAATGATAACCTCATTATCAACGTTTTCAATAGCTTGGACGAACCTTTTCTCCTCTCTTGGTTAGTAATTCCTCTGTTCTTAAAAAAAAAAAAATATTATAAGTTTTTGTTTCAGTATTTGTACTTGTAATTTTGGACTGCAACTCTAATACTTAGAAATGAGATTCAATCATTACTGGGAAGTGATAATATCTTTTTTAACAGTTGTTATTACAAAAGCACCTATTTGAATAAGCACACGTTTTAGTCACTTTGTTCAAGTGGCAAAAAGTGAAAACCTTGAAAAATGATTGGTCTGTTCAAAATTGTACTGTAAAAAACCAAAAAGAAGAAAAAGGGGTTTTCTCCTGTTGACTTTCAAATGGATGGATTGATAAGCAGAGGCCAAAGTAACCCTTTTATTAGAAGAATACCATCACCAAGTTTATTGCCCTAGCAGTTAGACTAACCATCAAGTCCTGCAATTCTTGTTTAGGAATGGTGTGCAGCAGAGAAGGAACTCATGGCAGGATGGGGTCTTTGGCACAAATTGCCCCATTCCACCAGGACAGAACTTCACTTATGTTCTCCAAGTCAAAGATCAGATTGGTAGTTACTTCTACTTTCCTTCCCTTGGCTTCCACAAGGCTGCAGGAGGGTTTGGTGGCATCAAAATCGCAAGCCGCTCGGTTATCCCAGTACCTTTCCCTCCTCCTGCTGGAGACTTCACCATATTGGCAGGAGATTGGTTCAGTAAAAATCACACTGTAAGTAGCATGCTTAAAGACTATGCCAATTATCACACACCCACGCACGCACACATTTGTTTTAATGTGCCAGAAAACTAGAGATGATTTATGAGTTAACAATTAGTATGTGCAGTTGTTCACTGCGAGGTCTAAAAATGTGATCACTCTAGCACTACTCAAGATTTATAATCGTTGTCAAATTCATAGCAGAAGGCATGTGATATGAGTTCATTTTGATGGGGTTGTTTTGAATCCTACAGGATTTGAAAGCAATTTTAGATAGTGGGAACAATCTTCCCTTCCCTGACGGGCTCCTCATCAATGGCCGTGGATCAAACGGATTCACATTTACGGTTGATCAAGGTAACTAATCAATTCATCAAGTGTTGTGAGCACCATTTCTGTGTGGTGATGGAATTGATGTAACTTGTTTCATGTGTCATACTTGCTTGGCAGGCAAGACTTACAGGTTGAGGATATCAAATGTGGGGCTTACGACTTCCATCAATTTCAGAATCCAGGGGCACAAGATGTTGCTGGTTGAGGTGGAAGGCACCCACAGCCTTCAAAACACTTATAGTTCCCTTGACATTCATTTGGGGCAGTCTTACTCTGTATTAGTTACAGCTGATCAACCAGCACAAGATTACTACATTGTTGTCTCTACGCGTTTCACTTCAGAAGTGCTCAGTGCAACCTCCATTCTTCACTACAGTAACTCAGCAGGAAGCGTTTCTGGTCCTCCCCCTGGTGGCCCAACAACTCAGATTGACTGGTCTCTTGAACAAGCCCGATCTCTCAGGTGCTTATTTTTATCATTGTTTTCTGTTCGTAAGCGGATGTGTTATACATGGTAGTGCCAGTTTTCATAGTTGACATAGATTCTGCTATATAGATAATCGTTCGTTCGTGAGTGTCTATTGAGATGGCATACAAAATGATCATGTTGTTTGCACTAACATTTTCTATTAAGAAATCATATCATTGAACATGTTAGGCACACAAAGATGAACTATTTCAATATACTAGGCCTGTTATACACCACTTCTCATATTTTTTTGAATGAATGACATACATAAAACCAGGCGGAATTTGACAGCAAGTGGTCCAAGACCTAACCCCCAAGGCTCATATCATTACGGATTGATCAACACCACACGTACAATCAGGCTAACAAGCTCTGCTCCAATTATTGATGGCAAGCAGAGATATGCTGTGAATAGTGTGTCCTTCATCCAACCCGACACACCACTTAAACTTGCTGACTACTTCAAGATCTCAGGGGTGTTCTCCATTGGAAGCATCCAAGACAACCCCACTGGAGGCGGTGCTTATCTTCAGACTTCTGTCATGAATGCTGATTTCCGAGGCTTCGCTGAACTAGTGTTCGAGAATCCTGAGGATACTGTGCAGTCATGGCACATTGATGGCCATAGTTTCTTTGTTGTGGGGTAAGTTCACTGCCTCAGAAATTCAAACATTTTTTCAACTGTTCTGCAATGTGAGAAATTCAATAAGAACACATATCTTAACCATGGTAATTCTGATATGGGCAGGATGGATGGTGGACAGTGGGAACCTGCAAGCAGATTAAGATACAATTTGAGGGACACGATTTCTCGTTGCACTGTTCAGGTACATCGATAAATGCAGCTCCTTAAAAACTATGTGTGACTTACAATTATGTTCCCATGATTGTTTTTTAACATGGATGCCATTTCTTATCACAGGTGTATCCCAACTCATGGACTGCAATTTACATGCCATTGGACAATGTGGGGATGTGGAATGTGAGGTCCGAGAACTGGGCTCGCCAGTACTTAGGCCAGCAATTCTATCTTCGCGTCTACTCACCTGCAAATTCATGGAGGGATGAGTATCCAATCCCAAGGAATGCTCTTCTTTGCGGTCGAGCATTAGGTCGTCGAACGCGGCCTCTATAAGCAAAACCAGAATGTTAGGAAGGTAAAACTGTGACCAAAGGCTGTCAGGGTCATTAGATGTGAACTAGGAAAGGAGAGGATATGTCTGCAAATTAAAGATGTAGTCAGGGCTTAACTCAAGCCATTTTCACGAGTGTGTGTTTGCTTCTCTTTTGTGTGATCCAAATCAAACTCATTGGATCTAATTTGTATGGGTTTTGTATTCTTTGTTCACATTATTCTTAACCCGAAAAAAAAATGGCCCAACTCTGCTCCTATGAAGATTTCCCCCGACCCAAAATCAATCAACGATTAATGGATACACTGTCAATTTTTTTGGGCCGAAGAATGGATACACTTGTTCCCGAGCATGAACATTCATCTGAGTGTGGGAGATGTACGGGGATAGAGAGAGATATGATGAGATATCGACCAGGCAGAGCCACTTGTGCCTGCAAATTGCAAAGTGGAAGGTGGGTAATTGAATTTGGTTAAGAGTAATATTTATGGTCGAGCGTCGGTAGGGTTGACCAACTTCTATGTGTATGGCATGGCCATGGAGAAGTCTCACATAAACTGGTTAGGTGTATGTTTGGGCTCTACTCTCAAAACTTTAAAGCATGCATACATTGGAAGAAATATATAAATCAAATGTGAAAGAGCCGAAAGGGGTCTAATCTAGTGTAAAAGAGTTTTGATTTGCACATTGACAATGTATGTATGAGAAAATCCCCTCATTTCTAACTCTGACAACAACAACAAAAATTGACAGAGCCGAACAAAATTCAAACAAAATATTAATTTATTTTAGGCCCCAACTCTTAAATCAGATCAACCACACAGCCTTTTGGAGAAAGGGACCTTTTAAGATTAGCACAAAGGCTTACAAATTATAGCTAGTCGAGGTTATTCATGCAATTGGGACTTGGGTTCTCATGCTTTTAATTAAATTCATGTCATAATGAGAAGCTAAAAGAACTGTACATAAGTCAAACGATCAACGCAAGCTGAACTTGATATATATCCAATCCAAGTCGGGTTTTGACTGAGTTGACTTCCTCCATTTGCCATTTAATTGTCCCCCAAATTTCCCAACGGTTCCAACGCGACATGAACATGCACCCATTAAAAGCTGTTTAGTAGTACTGTATTATTAGCTAGTGAGTGAAGGTGAAGCCTATAAAAGGATCGCCTTTTCAACAATGAAGAACACAACCTCAGCAATCTGAGAATTTAGTGGAGCATTTTTTTTTTAACAAAGCCATGGGCATCTCTTCAAAATGGCTTTCTTTGAGTCTTGTTGTCCTGTACATTATCCTCCAGTTGAGTGCAATCAGCACTCTAGGTGACGACAAAGTTGAAAAAACTAGATTTCGGGGTGATGATGATGATTGTCCATGGGGCCGGCGATCATGTGGTGGTCGGTTTGGTCGAGGGCCTCGTGGTCATGGCGGTAGGGGTGGCGGCATTGGCGGAGGAGGAGGGGCTGGGGGTGGTCTAGGTGGTGGAGCAGGAGGGGGTGTTGGTGGAGGCGGAGGCTTTGGTGGTGGTGGTGGAGGTGGACTTGGAGGTGGTTCGGGTCATGGTGGAGGCTTTGGAGCTGGAGGAGGTGTAGGAGGTGGGGGTGGTCTTGGTGGTGGTGGAGGTTCTGGTGGTGGCGGAGGAGGTGGTGTTGGAGGTGGGTCAGGTCATGGTGGAGGTTTTGGAGCTGGAGGAGGTGTAGGTGGTGGAGCTGGAGGAGGTTTAGGTGGTGGTGGTGGCGGTGGAGCTGGTGGAGGAGGAGGTGGCGGAGTTGGTGGTGGTTCAGGGCATGGTGGAGGTTTCGGAGCTGGAGGTGGTGTAGGTGGTGGCGTTGGAGGAGGTGGTGGTCTTGGAGGTGGCGGTGGTGGTGGTTCGGGAGGAGGCGGTGGTCTTGGTGGAGGCGCAGGCCACGGAGGCGGGTTTGGTGCTGGTGGTGGTGTAGGAGGTGGAGCTGGGGGAGGTGTTGGTGGTGGAGGAGGTGCAGGAGGAGGTGGTGGTGGCCGAGTCGGTGGAGGTTCAGGCCATGGTGGCGGATTTGGTGCAGGTGGTGGTGTAGGAGGTGGAGCTGGCGGAGGGATTGGAGGTGGAGGAGGTGCAGGAGGAGGAGGTGGTGGTGGTGTAGGTGGAGGTGGAGGTTCAGGCCATGGAAGCGGTTTTGGTGCAGGTGGTGGTGTAGGAGGTGGAGCTGGCGGAGGGATTGGAGGTGGAGGAGGTGCAGGAGGAGGAGGTGGTGGTGGTGTAGGTGGAGGTGGAGGTTCAGGCCATGGAAGCGGTTTTGGTGCAGGTGGTGGTGTAGGAGGTGGTGGCGGTCACGGTGGAGGATTCGGAATTGGAATTGGGATTGGCATTGGAGTGGGAGCTGGCACGGGTAGCGGCCAAGGGTCTGGAAGTGGGTCTGGTGGAGGTGGTGGAAATTAAAACCATTTACCTTATAAGCAGCTTCTGCCTTGTGCATGGCTGAACTAAATATTATATGAGTTCTCAGATTGTAATTTCTGAAGATTGTAGGTCCAATTTTTATAAGCTACGCAATTAAGCTAATTTTCCCAGAAAACTATGGAATTAAGGGCGCATTGAGGTTCCTTAAGATGGTTTTGTTTTGAGTATTGAAATTCATTTCACATGTTAAACATAAAATACATGTGTTTCAACATCCAAATTATCACCTTCATCCCCTTAAACTCAACTCAAACTGGTGAACAGGTCATAATGGCCCCATGACAAGCGAAATCTAGGGGACTTGTTACAAATCTCAAGCTTATTTCTTTCTCCACACCTATCACTCTGAATTTTTGTTGGGGATGGGAATTTAAAGCCCATCTACCCATCTTTTTTTGAACAGAAATAATGTGGCTACCACATGCTGGTTTTGTACTAGTCATATGCTTATACTAACCTCCATACTGTACCACATGCAATCATGACTGAGCCTTCATCCATGGCCAAACCAACCTTTTTGTATACAAATAATTTTTTATATATTGTATTCATCAATTTTATGCTAGATCAAGGCCACCTACTTGTAAGTTCATGAATTAAGTCAATGTTTCCTTTAATATTGTTTATACAAGTGATGCTGTGAGAAGGAGGATTCGAACACTAAACCTTAGGTGCATACGTAACTGCTCTAAATTACTTGAGTAACAAGCCCTTTTGTGAATAAATTGTTAGTTACAATAAATGTGGGACAATTTAATGTTACATTCAAATTGGGAAAACACGCGTATGTACAAGACAAGACAAGACAACAAAATTAAGGAAGGTAAACTTTTTTTATTGATTGAATCATAAGAAAGGTAACTTAGAAAGTCAAAAATACAATCAAGGGATGAATTGAAGGAATTAACCAAACAAGACAATAAAAGTCAAAGAAACCCTTTAATGTGCATGAAGAGTGTTGAGGAAGATAATTGAAGACATTTAACAAACAAGAGCAATGAACAAGTTCCCGAATGAAGATGCTACATAATCCAATTTAAAGATATTTTTTTATTAATAATAATAAAAAAGAAGAAGACAAAGATTAGGCATGGAATAATTTCTCAGAGTTTTCTTTTTTTCTTTTTCTCTTTTATCTTCTCTCTTAAGCAACAAATAATTCCAAGAAACGAAGGCGTTTTTCTCGTGTTTCAATAAAAACGCTTTGCCTTTCGAGTACCTGATGGAGTTCCTGCCGTCCATTCAAAGATAAAATCACATGGGTCCCACAAATCGACGGTCAGAAATAGGGACGCGTACGGTTGCTGCCAAAGACGTAGCACACGTTTCGCAGTCCAGAGGCGACGCCAACGTGGATTCCCGCTGCTTCACCACTCCCTATATAATAAGAGGCACTTTCCCGCCGCTCCCTACTAGAGAGAGAGAGAAAGA